TTCAAGACCAGCCTGACCACGTAGTAAAACCCCATCTCTACTAAAAATACAAAAATTAGCTGGGCATGGCAGTACATGCCTGTAATCCCAGCTTCTTGGGAGTCTGAGGCAGGAGAATCACTTGAATCTGGGAGGTGGAGGTTGCAGTGAGCTGAGATCATGCCCCTGCACTACAGCCTAAGCGACAGTAAGACTGTGTCAAAAAAAAAAGGTGCTGGGCATGGTGGGTCACGCCTGTCATCCCAGCACTTTGGGAGACCAAAGTGGGTAGATCACCTAAGGTCAGGAGTTCAAGACAGCCTGGCCAATATAGAGAAACCCCATCTCTACTAAAAATACAAAAAATTAGCTGGGCAGGGTGGCACGTGCCTGTAATCTCAGCTATTCAGGAGGCTGAGGCAGGAGAATTGCCTGAACCCAGGAGGCGGAGGTTGCGGTGAGCCGAGATCATGCCATTGCACTCCGGCCTGGGTAACAGGAGCGAAACTCCGTCTCAAAAAAAAAAAAAATACAAATTAGCCTGGTGTGGTGGTGCATGCCTATAATCCCAGCTTGAACCTGGGAGGCGGAGGTGGCGGTGAGCTGAGATGGTGCCACTGCACTCCAGCCTGGGCAACAGAACGAGACCCGATCTCAAAAAAAAAAAAGTGATGGTGAAAACTACAATTACTTCTGCACCAACGTAATACATCTGCAATGATCTTATTTCCAAACAGAGTCACATTCTGAAGTACTAAAGGGTAGCGCTTCAATACAGGAAGTTTGGGGGGACATAATACAACCCATGATATATTCATTCCCACATCTCTCCAGCCCCTGGCAACCGGCAACGTGCTTTCTGTCTCTGCAGATTTGCCTGTTCTGGAGATTTCCAAGAAATGGAATCCTACACAATGCATCCTTCTGTGTCTGGCTTCTTTCACTCAGGATCCAGCTTTTGAGGTCCATCCACTTTGTAGCCGGTGTCACAGCTTCAGTCCTCTTTAGGGTCAGGGAGTCTGAAAGAATCAAAATGCATCAACTGCTCTGTGGACTCTGCCACTCAGGGGGCTTAGAATTGCAGATGCTAACTGCCTTAGAGCATTTCCTCCATTCCTCCATATGCACACACGCACACGCACACCACACACACACACACCTGTGTGCACAGGAACTTAATCCACCCAAGTAACTTATCTTTATACAGATGTTGCTGTTAAGGCGCAGTGGATCGCCACCTGTCATCCCAGCACTTTGGGAGGCTGAGGCAGGTGGATCACTTGAGGTCAGGAGTTTGAGACCAGCCTGGCCAACATGGTGAAACCCCCCTCTTTACTAAAAATACAAAAATTAACCGGGCATGGTGGCACACATCAGTTTACCCAGGTGGCTGAAGCATGCTTGAAGGAGAATCGCTTGAACCTGGGAGACAATTAACATAATTTAACCAACAAATCAATTTAACATAACAGGTTAAGAAAAGGTTTGTTTCATGTGTCACAGTGGGAGCACGTGGTTGTGGACTCAATTTTTTTTCTTTTTTCAGCAAGGTCTCACTCTGTTGCCCAGGGAGTGCAGTGGAGCGACTGTCACTCACCAAAACCTCCAACTCATCATTTAAGTGATCCTCCCACCTCAGCCTACTGAGTATCTGGGACCACAGGATCCTCTCTCAATGCTCCAGTGTTCCATAGAGCAACCACGGGCCCCAGCTTGCAGAACAAGAATCTGTATACAGCTTCTTGTAACCCTAGAAGCACAGCGGCTTCAAACACCTCATCCTACCTGGGTCAGGGTGGCTCATCAGGCAGTGACTGAAGCCGCCAGCCCAGCCCTAAGCTGTTGAGCCCCCTGCCATGCCTTCTTTCCCCACCCCCACCCCCCATCCCCTCACCTCCAGCTGTCAGAAGAGCCCTGGTCTTAAGATCCCAGAAGTCTGGCTTCCCTCTTGTGGACCCAGAGGGCCAGGAACAAAAATAACCCATTTATGCCTGAGGTTGCAATTTTTTGAATTTTTGCAATCAGACCTTGGCGATGACCTTGAGTAGTAGGATATGAATAACTCCCGCGTTCCAATAATGGAACACTAGGCATCAATGGGAGTTTCAGTCGTTTCTCTTCCTGTATCTTATGCTTTCCACGGTTCATTCAGCTACGGAATAAACTGAGGTACAAACAGAACAGAGCTTGGGCTCAGCTTTCTTCACACATTGCCTACTATCTATTGCAACTTGGTTTTGGAATATGGGCTTATTTGTAAAAATGGAATGGATGGATGTCCATGAGTATTGGTTCAAATTCATACCCTACTCTGATGGTCAAGAAAGCACCAGATCTCTTTGTTAATTGCACTGTTGCATTCCAATTGCAGCGGCACTGAGGTCCATTCCACAGACACGTGGAAGCTGTTGGAAATCGTTCTCCAAGCCCTGCATAGACAAGTGATGGATTAGTGGAGACAATGTGACTTCCAGGGCACAGAGACTGTTAGGAGCCATCCCTCAGGGACTGTGAGGTTGAGGTTAGCTAATTTGCCTTTTCTCTGTGTCACTGAGGAATGTTGACTGGTCAGTAGTCTAGATAATTCATCGTAGCTGGTGTATTTGTCAGCTGGGGCTGCTGTAACCAAGTGCCATGGACTGGGTGGATGAAGCAACACATGTTTATCTTCTCACAGTTCTGGAGGCTGGAAGTCTGAGATCAAGGCTCTTGTGGCTTTGATTCCCGGGGAGGGCTCTCTTTCCGGCTCGTGAACGACCTCTTTCTTGCTGTGCCCTCACATGGTGGAGAAAGAGCTTTGGTGTCTCTTGTGTTTCGCATAAGGACCCTAATCTCATCACGAAGACTGTACCCTCATGACCTTATCTAATGCTAATTACCTGCCAAGGGTTACATCTCCAAGTACCATCCCACTGGAGTTTCGAGTTTCAGCATATGAATTTGGGGAGATGAGGGTTGACGACGTTCACGGGGTTGGTCCACACAGTGGCCCTGGGCTCTTCTTCCTAAGTGTCCTCATTACTGTCCACCTTCCTCTGCCCACGGACTTCGCTCCCAGCCTGCTCCCTTTACCCTCCCCATCCTGTGTGATCACCGCCCTCTGCAGAAACCTCTTCTAAAGCAAAGCTGAGTTTAGGTACCCTAAGACCTCAGTGCACATCCCTCACATCCTATAATATCACACTGCAACTGTCTGCTTTCGCTGTTTGTGTTTGTTTCTTGTTATAAACCTATTTTTTTTTTGAGACGGAGTTTCGCTCTTGTTACCCAGGCTGGAGTGCAATGGTGCTATCTCGGCTCACCGCAGCCTCCGCCTCCTGGGTTCAGGAAATTCTCCTGCCTCAGCCTCCTGAGTAGCTGGGACTACAGGCGTGCACCACCATGCCCAGCTAACTTTTTGTATTTTTAGTAGAGACGGGATTTCACTATGTTGAACAGGACGGTCTTGATCTCTTGATCTCATGATCCACCCGCCTAGGCCTCCCAAAGTGCTGGGATTACAGGCTTGAGCCAATGCGCCTGGCCCTATAAACCTACTTTTTCTTCTTCACCTAGCACATGTGTGAGTCAGAAGAGACATGCATTGCTTGTATCTTCATTGCCACACTCTCCGTGGTACCAAAGACCTGAAATCAACCTAAATGTCCATCAGTGGTGGAGTGGAGAAGGGAAACGTGGGACATATGCAGCATGGAATTCTATGTAACCACAAAAAAGAAAGAAGCCGTGTCTTTGGCAGCAATGTGGGTGGAACTGGAGACCATTATCCTACGTGAACTAACACAGCAATGGAGAAGGAAATACTGCAAGTTCTCATTTATAAGTGGGAGCTAAACACTGGGCACTCGTGGACATAAAGATGGGAACAGCAGACACTGGGGACTCCACAAGGAGTGCAGAGGAAGGAAAGGAAGCATGGGTTGGAAAACTACCTGTTGAGTACTATGCTCACTATCTGGGTGTGATATATCCATGTAAACAAGCCTACACATGTACCCTCATATCTAAAATAAAAGTTGAAATTGAGGCTGGGTGGCACAAGACAGGTGGATCACCTGAGGTCAGGGGTTCGAGACAAGCCTGGTCAACATGACAAAGCGTGGGTCTCTACTAAAAATACCAAAAAAAAAAAAAAAAAAACAACAAACAAAAAAGGCCAGGCACGGTGGCTCAAACCTGTAATCCCAGCACTTTGGGAGGCCAAGGTGGGTGGATCGTTTGAGGTCAGGAGTTTGAAACCAGCCTGATCAATGTGATGAAATCCTGTGTCTACTGAAAGTACAAAAATTAGCTGGGCAAGAGGTTTCTGCAGGTGGGCACCTGTAGTCTGACCTACTTGGGACGCTGAGGCAGGAGAATTGGTTGAAAGGGGTGGGGAGTGGAGGTGGAAGAAAATAAGTTGAAATTAACAACGAAAAAGAGAGGTATGCCTTGGATGTTTGTTGAATGAATGCGTGAACTAATTAGATACTGCACGCTCAAAGCAAAAACCCACAATTCACAAATCTAGGACACATCCAACAAGTCTTAAGTGAAAGGCACAAAAAGCCACGTGTCATCTGCTTTTCCTGAACCATGTCTCTGCTGAAAGATTAGTTCTGCCAACTACAAAGACCACTGAGGTCTGAGGATGATGAATGCCTCTTGGAAGTCACTGAATTTGTTAGGTATAAAAGCGAAGAGTTCAGCTGAGCTCTGTGCACTGATGTGTGTGTTGATCTCCACTGGGTATCACTGTGCCATGACGTCCTGCAGGAAGAGGACTGCAGGCGGGCGGTGTCTTCCCTGGTTTCGGGGTTGGTGACTTTGAACTTGCTGCAGCACCCACGCCCTCAGCGAGCAGACTTGCCAAGCAGGTGTGCCAGCCGCCAGAAGCCCAAGATGTCCGTTGGCACTTGGTAACCACCCCAGTTTCCCATCCTCTGCGCTGCTGCAGATTGGTTGGGGCGGTCGGGGTAGGCTGGCTCCAAGACATGACTGAGCATGCGCGCACTGGTCCCACACGTTTTTGGGAGCTGGGAGCCCATTTGTTTCTGGCAGTTCAGTTCATGTTTTCCACTTGAAGACATCGCCTCCCTTCCTTCCAGGCTGGGAAACCAGAAGTCGACAGGAGGAGGGTGGAGAGGCTGCATCTCACAACCCGCTTGGTTGGGGATTCCGCTGAGGATTTTGCCTCCTGAAGCAAAGCATGGAACCCCGGTGGTGACTCCATGGCCTGACAGTCCTGTGTTTCCTAATGCACGCCCGAAGTAAGAGCCTTCTGGCTTGGAGGGAGATCCCCACGGGGGATTAGAAAGGAGACTAAGAGACATGGGTGGCTGAGAGGGGAGGGAGAAGACTGGCTGCTCCAATTTGGGATTTGGGAATTAGATCCACGAAGGCACGCTGCTAGCCGATAGCACTTCGGTATTCACCGAATTTTCTGCTTTCAATCTGCGTGTCCCAAGCGTTTAAAAAAAATGGCCTATTTAGCTCCATGAATTAAGCACAGGCATGTGGGGAATGCCAATCATTTCCTTCTGATTCAAAAATGAGTCCTGACCATTTCCATATGGCAAAAATAGAGTTGAAATGACTGTACCCCATGGGACAGATTACTAGAGATTCCTTTGCCGGAAAGGTTGCATTTGTTCAGATGTTTAAACCTTTTCGTAAACAATGTCATTCCTTCTTGCAAATCAAAACCACCTGAAATGTTTACATGAAAAACTTCAACATGAACCTGCAGGCTGGCTCTCCCACACTCCAAGATCAGAGTTTTTAGTGCCGCGCGAGAAACTCTAATGAACTCATAACGTATAGGATTTGAATAACAACTGAGTACGTTTCTCTGATCATTTTAATGTGGCGATTCCAGAGAAGGGAACACTCAGGCGAATCTCAAGAGTGAGACACCATCATTCTCAGCAAACTGACACAATAAGGGAAAACCAAACACCGCATGTTCTCACTCGTAGGTGGGTGTTGAACAATGAGAACAGATGGACAGGGAGGGGAGCATCACACACTGGGGCCTGTCGGGGCGTGGGGAAATAGGGGAGGGATAGTGGGGGTGGGGAGATTGGGGAGGGATAGCATTAGGAGAAATACCTAATGTAGGTGATGGGGGGATGGAGGCAGCAAACCACCAGGCAGGCTACCTATGTAGTGTATGTGTACCTATGTAACAATCCTGCAAGATCTGCACATGTACCCCAGAACTTAAAGTAGAATAAAAAATATATACATATTTTAAAAATTTACCTCTGGAAAAGAAAGAACAAGGGAGCCTATAAAAACTTGAGGGATTTGTTAAAAAGAGAGAGAGAGAGAGAGTATTTCTGTTAGGAAATAAAGACATCATTCAGATGCTCCTGAGGCAGCACTTCCTGTTTATCCTGTTGAAGGATTTGGATGTCAGGAAGGTAGGAGCCTGCGCTTATGGGCGGAGGCACTGTTGGGATAAACAGACCCTGGTGTTCCTCATCTATGATCTGCATCAATAATGCTGTCTTGAGATCTCAGCTAGTAAGTGGACAACTCGGCAATGCATTTATCAGTTTCTGTTTACAGGGAGACGTTGAACAGTGAACCCACCTTCCCAGGAAAGCACTGAAGAGCCAAAGGTTAACCAAAGACCCTTGGGCAAGTCAACTTCTACAAAGTGTAGCCTACACACAGCTCACACCTTACAATGGTTCGACTGATAATAGTGCAGAACTGGTATGCATTCGGCAGAAACTGAAACTGTACTGTCAGTACCCATACAACTTTTTTTTTTTTTTTGAGATGGAATGTCACTCTGTTCCCCAGGCTGGAATGCAGTGGCACAATCTCAGTTCACTGCAACCTCCACCTCCTGGGTTCAGGCGATTCTCCTGTCTCAGCCTCCCAAGTAGCTGGGATTACAGGTGCCCGCCACCATGCCCAGCTAAGTTTTGTGTTTTTAGTAGAAACAGGGTTTCACCATGTTGGCCAGGCTGGTCGGGAACAGGTGATCCACCCGCCTCAGCCTCCCAAAGTGCTAGGATTATCGATGTGAGCCACCACGCCCAGCCCATACAATCATTCTCTTTTTCAGTTTCAGTACAATATTCAGTAAATTACATGAGAGATGCAACATCTCATTATAAAGTAGAGTTTGTGCTAGATGATTTGTCCAACTCTTGGGAGGGTCTCCATGTGTCACCCAGACTGGAGTGTAGTGGTTCCATCATAGCTGACTGCAGCCTTCACCCCAGGGGTTCAAGCAAACCTCCCACCTCAGCTTCCAGAGTAGCTGGTACTGCAGTCATTTGCCACCATGCCTGACCATTTTAAAAAAATTTTTGTAGAGACAGGATCTGACTATGTTATCTAGGCTGGTTTTGAACTGCTGAGCTCAAGCGATCCTCCTGCCTTTGCCTCCCCAAATCTTGAGATCACAAATATCAGCCACCACACCCTATCCTGTGCTAAATTCTTTGAATGACAGCAGCACTTTAGGCACTGTGCATGTTTATTAACTTAGTTGATTGTCCCTCAGCCCGATGATGGGAGTGTCATGCTTGATGTCATTTTACAGATGGTGTATTAGTCAGCGTTCTCTCGAGGGACAGAACTAATGGAATCAATATATATAGAGAGAGGGGATTTTATTAAGTATTAACTCACACGATCACAAGGTCCCACAATAGGCTGTCTGCAGGCTGAGGAGCAAGGAGAGGCAGTCCAGGTTCCAAAACTGGTTAAAAACTTGGAGTGTGATGTTCGAGGGCTCCTCCAGCACAGGAGAAAGATGTAGGCCAGGAGACTAGGCCAGTCTCTCTTTTGACTTTTTCCTGCCTGCTTATATTGTAGCCACGGTGACAACTGACTAGACGGTGCCCACCCAGATTGAGGGTGGGTCCGCCCCTTCCATTCCATCGTCTCCAATGTTAGTCTCCTTCGGCAATGCCCTCACAGACACACACACGGTCCGGACTTTGCATCCTTCTTTCCAAGTATTCACCATCACAGATGGGTAAACCGAGGCACCGAGGATTTCGATGGGGGCATCTGGCAGCAGAATCTGAGCTGTCTTGCATGTCTCTCTGGGAAGACCCCCATGAGCATCCTGCTCTGTCACAAGCCTTGTCTTCTGGAAATCGAAATCATTCCTTCTCCAAGTGTTACAGGAAAGAGGTCCCAGTCCAGACCGCAAGACAGGGTTCTTGGAACCTGCGCAAGAAAGAACTCACGGCGAAGCATAAAGTGAAAAGCACTTTGTTAGGAAAGTAAAGGAATAGACGGCTACTCCACCGCCAGAGCGGCCCCGAGGCTGCCAGTGGACTGCTTTCATGGCGATTTCTTGATACACTAAGCAAAGCGTGCATTATTCATGCCTCCCCTTTTAGAACATGCAGAATTCCTGACGTTGCCATGGCATTTGCTAGTGTCATGGCGCTGATGGGGCTGTAACAGTGACGACAACCATAGGTCACTCTCGCACTCTTGCTTTCGGTGGGTTTCTGGCAGCTTCTCCACTACCACCCGTTTTATCAGCAAAGTCTCTGTGACCTGTGTCTTGTGCAGACCGTCAATCTCATCCTTCACCATCTGGGAATGCGGCCCAGTAGGTCTCAGCCTTATATTACTCAGCCCCTATTCAAGGTGGAGTGGTTCTGGTTCCGTTGCCTCTGACACAAGGAATGTGCCATAGGGAGGTCGCAGGAGGGACAGGAAAGGAAGTGAGGTCTGGATCAGGTCACTTCTGTGTAAATGAGATGACGTGCATGCAGAAGCCGGGTGTGTCCTCGGTAATGAGTTACATGCATAGATGACCCTGCTACATCTCCAGCCATCACCAGCTAGAGATGGGGCACATTTGCAAGACCCCAAAAACATTCTGCAAGGCTGGTGGGAGGATTGCTACAAAGCACTTAAGGAAACAGAGTATTGAGAGTATTGATCAGGATAAATAGTTAATGCATGTGGGGCTTAATACCGTTGACAGGTGCAGCTAACCATCATGGCACGTGTATACCTATGTAACAAGTCTGCATGTTCTGCACATGTATCCCAGAACTTCATATAAAACAAAGAGAACAGACTATTGTTAATGGTTAATGTACTGTAAAAAAATTATAATGACTAAATTATCAATACAAAGCAAGATAACAATATAACATATTTCTAATAATTAGAGGTTGACATTCTAGCAGCTCACGTTTCTGTTGTCTTTAACTGTTATTTTCTGTCAAATCCAGAGGGCTGTGAAGGAAAACGCCACACAATGTGGTCTTCTAACAGCCGATAAAACCAGAAGTCGGAATCCCAAAGGCCAGTGTATGAAATGTTATTTATCGAGGGGAAGACAAGAAAAGTGTAGGGTTTGATAGAAGAACTGGGTACTACTGTTTTTTAGATTCACAGGGTGACTTTAGTTTACAATAATCTATTGTATATTTCAAAATTGAAGAATGAGAGCGGTTCTAATAAGAAAAGGCAAATGTTTAAGGTGGATGGATATTCCAAGTACGTACGCTGATTTGATCTTTACGAATTATATAAATGCATTAAACTATGACATGTACCTTGAAGCTATGTACATCTGTTGTGCATCAATTAAAAAATACGTTAAAAGAAAGTGACATTTGTCCAAGACAGTCTCTTCCAATCTATTGTACATTATGACCAGATGTGAAACCGGGGAGTTCCCTGATTCCCTCACAGGATGTGTGGCACGGATTGGTTCATCTGTTCCACCACCGTACACTGAAACCTCTTACGGGAGGCAGAGTTTCAGATCGGCACATGCATCAGCTGGGCCAGTATTTTTGAAATAGAACTGATAAGATAGATTTTCATCTAAGTCGGAGAGTGTTTTTTAAATAGAACCAGTAGGATACATTTATATCTAACTCTCTATATACTTATATCTCCATTGGTCTTTCATCTGTCTCAGAAATATACCTATTTGTTTATCATCTATCCTCCATCGATCTCTTCATCGATCTCTCTGTTATCCATCTATCTATTTATCTATCTTTATCTCCAATATCTATCTTCAATATCTATCTATCTATCATGTATCCCATCTACCTATCTACTGACCCATCTATATAAAATATGTATGTTTCCCTTATATGAGAGGCTGAGGCAGACAGATCATTTAGGCCCAGGAGTTCGAGGCTTCGGTGAGCTGATTACACCACTACACTGCAGCCTCAGTGCAGAGCTAGACCTTGTCAGTAGGAGGAGGAGGAGAAGGAAAAAGAAGAGGAAGGAGGAGGAGGAGGGAGGAGGAGGA